ACTTTCCATCCTACTTCTTCTCATTCTCATTCCTCTCCTTATATTCTTTTTTCTTGAAGCTTATCCCACAATGGGCCAGAAAGTCTCATCATCTTCAGCTCCCCTTGATCTAGTTCTTAGTTATTTTCAGGATTACAAATGAGTGGTTTCAAATGTGTCTGGAGTCTGTGTCAAGCTGACCCACCTCCAGGCCCTCTGGACCATCGAATGGCCCCCCCTTTGAAGTCGAATGGCCGCCTGAAAGGTCCTTTAACCTGTCCCTCATCTACAGGGTTCAAGGAGTTATCTTCGGGGAACCAGGGAACCCTGACCAGATCCCCTACATCCTAGGTTGGTGATAGCTGGTCATTGCCCCCCCAACTGGCTGCATCCCTTACTGCCACCCCTGCCATCAGGGCCTAAGGGGTCAGCCACTTTGCTTCCCCTGAAGAAAGTCCAGACCAAAAACCCATCAGGTCCCAAAATCCTCCCCTCGGCACCAGAGGAGGATTTACTCCTGTCGCCTTATGGGGCCCCATCGAGTGCTCAGGATAGACCTAGGGAGTGCAGGTCATGAGCCTCTTCCTCTTCTTCCAGTCCTTCTGGGTCTCCGTCCCTGGCTCCCATGACTGAGCTGGCCCCTCCTGTGGCTGAGCCCAGTCCATTACACACTCGCTCATTGGGGGAGGGGAGAATTGTATGAGCTCTTCCCCTGAGGGAGATTGGGCCCCTGAGGGAGGATGGAATTTCCCCAGTAGTCTACTTTCCCTTTTCTACTAGTGACTTGTATAATTGGAAGTTACAGACTCCCTCCTTCATGGAGAAGCCTCAGGCCCTGGTTTCCCTCCTGGATACCGTTCTTTTTACCCACCAGTGCACTTGGGATGATTGCCAACAGTTATTGAATATCCTATTCACCACCCGAGGAATGGAACTGCATCCTTCGGGAATGCAGGCACACAGCCCCTGGAAATGATGGGCGACCGATAGAGAATGAGGATTTTGATTATAGCTGCTTTTACTCTCATGCGCCCAATGGAGGGGTGGGACTATAACACCCCCAAAGGTAGGGAACGCCTAAAGGTCTATCACCAGATTCTTATGGGGAGGTCTCTGGACACCTGCCAAGTGCCTCACCAATTTGTCTAAGGTCAGTCAGGTGATGCAGGGAAGGGATGAGTCTCCTGGAGCATACCTGGAGCACCTCTTAAGAGGCTTTCAGAACTTATATTCTCATTAATCTAGAGGCCCCAGAGAATCAGATGGCCATCAATATGGCTTTCGTGAATCAGGCAGCTCCAGACATAAAACGAAAACTTCAAAAGCTGGAAGGTTTCAAGGGCAAAACCTTTCTGAGCTGATGGCGGTGGCGAACAAGGTATTTAACAATAGAGAAACCCTTGAATAAAGACAAGCTAAAGGGCTGGCTAGGATATTCTTAGCTGAAAGAGCAGAGAATCCAAATAGGGGGACTGACCCCCTATGAAAAAGGGAACTCGAGCCCTGTGACCCCCACAGGAAGGTCGGCGTGCATATTGTAAACAGCTGGGCCACTGGGCTAGGGAATGTCCTCAAAGGACGGGATCCTAGCCTCCCTCCAAGCCCAAGATCCTCGAGTTGGTGAACCTAGAAAACTGAAGGGGCCCAGGCTTGGAGATCCTCCACCACGAGCCCTGGGTGCCCTACAAGTGGAGGGATGAGCCATTGGCTTCCTAGTTGACACTGGAGCACAATATTCAGTTTTGAAAGAGCCTATGGGAAAATTGACCAGTAAACGTACCTGGGTGCAAGGGGCCACGGGAATCACTCAACACCCTTGGACCACCAAAAGGGAAGTAAACTTAGGTAAGAAGACAGTTTCACACTCCTTTATGGTGGTCCCAGAGTGCCCATATCCCTTATTGGGTAGAGACTTGCTAAATAAAATGAAGGCTCAAATTCATTTCTGTGGGAGAGGACCTCCTGATGTGATTGTACCGGATGCAGCCTATATCCTGTTTACAATTAGAAGAAGAATGGAGAGTGCATGCCCCACCACCTCAAAAGAGACCAACCACTATCCTCAAGGACCTCCAGGCAACAATCCCTGGAGTTTGGACAGAAACTAATCCCCCAGGGAGGGCCATCCAACAGCCACCAATAATGGTGACTTTAAAAACTAATGCTCGCCTGGCGTGGTGGTGCATGCCTGTAGTCCCAGCACTTGGGAGGCCGAGACAGGCAGATCTCTGTGCGTTCAAGGCCAGCCTGGTCTACATAGCCAGTTCCAGGACAGCTGGAACTACAGGGAGACCCTGTCTCAAAAAGGCCAAAAAAAAAAACAACAAAAAAAACTAATGCTCAGTGTGTAAGAGTAAAACAGTACCCCATGACTCTTGAAGCCAGGGCAGGAATTACCAAACACAAAAACCACCTTAAGGAGTTCAGTATTCTGGTTCCATGTCAATCTCCATGGAACACCCTTCTCCTACCCGTCAAGAAATAAGGGACTAACAATTTCTACCCAGTGCAGGATTTGAGAGAAGTTAACAAGAGGGTAGAGGATATCCAACTATAGCCCCCAACCCATATACCCTGCTGAGCTCACTGTCTCCAGAGAGAAGAGTCTATACTGTTTTAGATCTCAAGGATGCCTTCTTCAGCCTGACCTTGGCAAAGGAAAGCCAACCCATCTTTGCCTTTGTGTGGCAAGACCCAAACCAGGGATTTAATGGACAACTCAGATGTGACTGTCACAGGGGTTCAAGAACTACCCCCATGATCTTTGATGAAGCTCTACATCAGGACTTGCAGGAGTATTGGGCCTCACACCCAGAGGTAAGCCTCCTACAGTATGTAGATAACCTGTTGATTGCCACTGAGGATGAGGGCACTTGTTTTCAGGGCACCAGAGATTTGCTCCTGACCTTGGATCAATTGGGGTATAAAGTCTCCACCAAGAAGGCTCAGCTTTGTGTCACGGAGGTAATGTACTTGGGGTACATACTAAGGGATGGACAGAGGTGACTGTCACCTGCCAGAAAACAAGCCATTATGGGAATTCCAAGCCCAAGATCCTGCAGGCAGTTGAGAGAGTTCCTGGGATCGGCAGGCTTCTGCCGGCTCTGGATATCCGGATTTGCTGAGCTGGCAAAACCCCTGTATGAAGCCCCTCAAGGGAATGAGTCATCCTTCCTATGGACTGAGACTCAGAGGACCTTTCAAGAAACTCAAAAGGCTTTATTGCAGGCTCTGGCCTTAGCTCTGCCAGATATCCATAAGCCCTATCAGCTCTTTGTTGACGAATGAGCTGGAATAGCGAAGGGAGTCCTGACCCAAATGCTCGGGCCTTAGAAGAGCCTGTGGCTTACTTGTCCAAAAAGCTTGATCCCGTGGCCTTGGGATGGCTGGGCTGCCTCAGAATTATCGCAGCCATGGCCTTGTTGGTTAAGGATGCAGAAAAGCTCACCCTGGGACAGCCCCTGATGGTCACCACCCCCACTCAATTGAAGGTGTCCTTAAAATCCCCCCATCAATGGATGAAAAATGCTTGGTTGACGCATTATCAGACCTTGCTCTTTAACCCCCCTCGCATCCAGTTCCTCTCCAGCACCACTCTCAATCCTGCCACTTTGCTGCCAGAACTGGATCTTGAGGTCCTGCACGACTGCCTGGAGGTACTCTGCAACTTACATGGGACTCGGGAAGACCTGATGGATCTTCCATGGCCCCACCCAGACTTAATTCTGTTCACGAATGGAAGTAGCTTCATTAAGGAAGGAATGAGGTATGTGGGGGCAGTGGTCATCAGTCCATCACGGACAGTGTGGGCCTCCTCTCTACAAGATGGGACCTCTTCCCAGAGGGCTGAAATAATTGCCCTGACTCAGGTCCTAAAGCTAAGTTGAGACCAGACTGTTAACATTTTCACTGATAGCCGTTATACTTTCACTATGGCTCATGTCCATGGGGCTATGTGCAAGGAAAGGGGGCTCCTGACAGCAGAAGGAAAGACTATAAAAAATAAACAAGAGATCTTAAAACTTCTGGAGGCTATATGGTTACCAAAGAGACATCCATTGTCCAGGGCACCAAAAAGGGGATTCACTGGAGGCACAAGGAAACAGGAGAGCAGACCTAGCAGCCAGAGAAGCAGCCCTAACAGCCTCAAACCTACTGGTTATCCTGCCTGAACCCCTCTTGCCAGAAGAGCCCTCGTACCCAGCTCAGGACAATCAGATTTAACTTCCCTGGAAAATACCAAGATCAAGCATGGATGGAGACACACCTCTGATGGGAGGCTCATTCTACTGCATAAGCTGGCATAGGACTTAATATATAAACTCCATAAAGGGGCTCACCTAGGGAAAAGAAAATTACAAGAGCTCCTGACTCTGTACCCCATCTTTGATCTAACCAAAATGACTGAGAGCTGTCTTTCCAGATGTTGCTCCTGCCAGGTTACTAATCCAAGGGGAAAAGTCATGACCCCAGCCAGAAGGGAGAGGGGCGCTGCACCTGGAGTCCATTGGGAGGGACTTCACTGAGGTAAAACCTGGCAGGTATGGCTATAAATATCTCCTAGTTTTTGTAGATACATTTTCAGGATGAGTTGAAGCATTTCCCACAAAGGGGGAAACTGCCTCAACGGTAATTAAAAAGATCATCAATGAACGAATACCAAGGTATGGACTCCCCTCTGTGATCGGGTCAGACAATGGACTAGGCTTCATCTCTAGGATAACTCAAGAGTTAATTAAAATACTGGGGACTAATTGGAAGTTACATTGCACATACCACCCCCCAGAGCTCAGTTTAGTAGAGAGAATGAATTGGACCCTTAAAGAGACCTTAACCAAATTAACCCTAGAAACTGGTGATGACTGGACAGGCTCCTAACTTTTGTCCTATACAGGGTCAGAAATACCCCATATACTCAAGGCCTAACACCTTATGAAATCATGTATGGCCGACCACCCCTGTTGCTTCCTAAGCTGCCTTCAAATATGCTAATTGACTTGTCTGAATCCCAATTTCTTAAGTCCCTACAGGCCTTACAGATTGCACAAGACAACATTTTCCCCTTGCTGAGGCACATCTACGAACAGCTACCAGCCCAACCACATGATTCAAGCCAGAAGACCTTGTTTGGGTGAGACGGCACCACAAGGAGCCCCTTGGACCTTGATGGAAGGGGCCACACATCATGATCCTCACCCCCCCACTGCGGTTAAGGTGTCTGGTGTCCGGACTTGGATACATCACTCACATCTAAAGCCTGCATCAGAGGATTGATCAGACCAAGTCAACAAGAGATGGAAGGTCACACGGGTAAAAGACAATCCTCTCAAGCTAAAAATGTCTGCCACACCATAACTCTTGTTGCTTTTTTATGTTTTTTTTTATAGAGCCTTCCCTAGATAACTCCCCCCATGGACTCCAAAACCTCACCTGGGTAGTTAGTAGCACATCCACTGGAAAGATAGTGAACATCTCCTCCCATCTGGGACCTCCAGGCACCTGGTTCCCCAAGATTACATTTGACCTCTGCAACCTGCTTGAAGAATCTTACACCTTGAGCTTGGGAATCATACACCCTGTCAGGCACTGTAAATTATGCTTGGCAGTCTCCCCTTGGCCAAAAGAGGATGAAGGAGCACCGCTTCTATGTTTGCCCGGGCAATGGTAACCGAAGTACCTGTGGGGGGCCAGGGGACTATTTCTGTGCTTCATGGAGCTGTGTGTCTACTGGATATATTAATTGGGCTGCCCCAGTCACTACCGACTTGATCCAGGTAACTGTGGTCC